AAGCCCACTTGTATGCAAAGAGGATGCCCATTGTTCTGCCTGGATGGTTCCTGAAACTGTATGGAAGGAAAGAGGTTCCCTTGGTTTGTCTAAACCTAATCAAGGGGACAGGGATTAGGGATTCCCACTTTGAAGTTTAATAGCAGACAATAATGCCTCATTAGTTTCTACTTTATATCTCCCAAAGTTAGGAAGGAGGTATCTGCTATGTAAGCTTCTTTACTCTGTTTTCACATCTTCTGGAAGAGTTAGTGATAAAGGTGTTTATTTATAGGGAATTGGAATGAACACTCGAAGCATAACTAATTTTTTTCCGTAAGAATTCAAAACTGTAACATACCATGCAAGATTGCTGTGAAAATTAAACAATATAATAATGTATGTAAAGAACCAAGTATGATGCTATATATTTAGTGTGCATTCAAGAAATGGCTGCTGCTGTTGAGAAAGTCAGGCTCACATTCTGGGGCAAAAAAAGGAGAACAGTTCAATAAAAGCTCTTTGGTTCCCCAATCCTTAACCTCAGGGAGCTTCAGTTTTATCATTTATAAATGAGATTAATAATACCTTCTTGGCTCTGGCCGGTTTGGCTCAGCGGTTGGAGCATTGGCCTGCGGTCCAGAGAGACCCGGGTTTGGTTTCTGCTAAGGGCACGAAACTCGGTTGCAGTTTGTCCCCGGCCCTGGTTGGGTCGTGTGGGTGGCAACCACTCGATGTGTCCCTTTCACGTCTATGTCTCTCTCTTTCTCTCTCTCCTTCCCACTCTGTCTGACCAAAAAATGGAAAAATGTCCTCAGGTGAGGATAAAAAAATAATAATAATAATAAAATAATAATGGTTTCCTCAGTGAGGCCTATTAAAAATAAATAAATAAATAATACCTTCTTGGTTTTTTCTAGAGTTGATTAAAATTTCCAAGGACTTTAGTGCTCTATTCACTAGCCTTATTTTAATAAATATTTAATCACTGGCTGAATTTCTTGGGCAACGTAATCTGAAACATGGAATGGGGAAGAATTGATTTGTATATGAACAAGATATACATATAATTGAAAAAATAACATCTTCATATTGGTAAGCACTGAGAAAGCATTGAAAATAGATAAAGATCTACACTGAATTTAGATATTAATTGTTTCTCTTTCTACATAAATGGCAGAGAACTCTAAAGAATGTTATTGCTTTTTTTTTTTTTTTAATCCTCACCCGAGGACATTTTTGCATTTATCCTCAGATAGAGCAAGAAGGAGAGAGGGAGGAAGAGAAAGAGAAACATCGACATGATAGAGACACAGCGAGTGGTTACCACCCACAAAACCCCAACCAGGGCTGGGGACAAACTGCAATCAAGGTACGTGCCCTTAGCAGGAATCGAACCCGGGTCTCTCTGGTGCGCGGGCTGATGCTCTAACCTCCGAGCCAAATCAGCCAGGGCTGTTATTGCTTTTTGTTGTTGTTGTTGTTAATCCTCACCTTAGGATATTTTTCTATTGATTTTTAGATAGAGTCGAAGGGGGAGAGAGAGAGAAATATCAATATGAGAAAGACACATTGTTTGTTTGCCTCCTGCACGACCCCGACCAGAGTCAGGGATCAAACCTGCAACCCAGGTATGTGCCCTTGACTGAGAATGGAACCCATGACCCTTCCGTCTGTGGCCTGACACTCTAACAATTGAGCCAAACCAGCCAGGGCAACATGGTATCACTTTTTAATAGATCATAACTACTTGTATTGCTGTACTTTCCATTTGATATTAGGCAGAGAATTAATTTCAACAAAGCTTAATACTCACAAAGGAAAGGTTAACTAGCCTTATGTGTTGCACCTTTCATTTCCAGGAATTTTGCGAGGCAGCAAGAGAGAGGAGAGCTATCTTTTTGTTATACTTCTCTTTCACAAAATTGTTGCCTACCCCAGTTTATTCTGCCAAGCTGCTTGCTTCTAATGTAATGCAATATACTCTTTTGCTCAGACCCATTGGAGACTATTGGCTCTTTTCAGGGACTTTTTGTTTTTTAGTGCTTTACTTAGGAGCTACGAGTTAGGATGCTATGAAGCTAATTGACTATTTTCTCTCACATAAGTAATGCTGGAACCTAGATATAATATAGCTGCATTTTCCAAATAAGTTGGAGGATAAAACCACAACATGCAACAGGTATCTCAAATTTTCAATTGATATAAACTTATTTCAGGGCAGACATATTACCCGGAGCCCCACCTGTGAGAACTTGGATTATTTTATTTAGGGGACAGGAAGATATTCTGTAAATGAGCTCTCTTAATACAAAGTGGCCCTCACTTGTTTACAATAATCTTGATTTTCTGAAGGTCATAGCCTCTTAATTGTCTTACACATTTTTCCTTACCAGCTGCAAAAAGTCTGGGTCTCAAATGCCTAAAGTTCTTGGAAAATATCAATTGAGAGAAAGTGACTTCATGAGAACTAAGAAAGCTGGAGCAATTCCCGAGGGGCTGACAAAAGTGCCAGTTGTTTCTCCAGCTCAGGAGGATAAAAATTGAGCTAGTGGGGTGATCAGCAGAGCTTTGGAGGTCCAAGGCTGCAAAGTGCACCTTTTTATGCTCACAAATTCTCTCCAAACTCCATGTCTTTGAATTCCAATGTAATGGCTACCTAAGATTCATTAAATTAAGAGGAAGTGGAAATGATGGTGTTCCAGGGGCACAGGGGCTGTGGAGGTGGTTGTAAAACAGGTGTCAGAAACTCAGAGACCAAGATGAATCTATGGAAACCATAGCCTTGTTCTTAGAATGAGATGCCACCAGTCAGAACCTGGGACCTGCTTTCCAGTAGGACACAGCATTTGGGTAAAGACGTGTGTTTGTCCAGTCTCACACTCTTGGTGGCATACAACTTGTCACTTACGTCTCCCCTGGAGGAGTGTGATTGTATTGTCAATCAATTTTTTAAATTTATTTTTTATCCTTACCCAAGGACATTTTTGCATTCATCTTCAGATAGAGTGGGAGGGAGAGAGGGAGAAAGAGAGAGAGAAACATCGATATGAGAGAGACACATTGAGTGGTTGCACCCCACATGACCCCAACCGGGACCACGGACAAACTGCAATCGAGGTACATGCCCTTAGCGGGAACCAAACCCGGGTCTCTCTGGTCCACAGGCTGATGCTCTAACCGCTGAGCCAAATCGGCCAGGGCTATATTATCAATTTTACCATATCTTAGCTAAAGGAGAAGGTTAGAGGTCATAATTTCCCCAATATTTTTTCTCCTGATAGTGTTACTTTTGTGTATTGAACACCAAGGAAATGACATTGTGATAAATAAACTAGGGGCCTTATTGTACATTCAGAGATTGTTTACCCTGCAAGCCACACTTGAACAATCACAAAGATTTGAAAAATTTAGTTAGTATTTTAGGACATGTGATTATCTTACTGGTAAGAATACTTACGCATTTTCTCATTAATCTAGAAATCAGGGGAAACATTTATCCAAGCTACCTTTTATTCTTGAAGAAGATGAATCCTTATGCAAGATGTTAGGACTCGTGAAAGTTCAGACATCTCAAAGAGGCCAGATAAGACCTGTGTGGGCTAGAGAAGTTCTCCACATCAGAGTAAGACTCCCTTTCCCTCCATCTCCACCCACCACCCCTTCTCCCAAAACCCCACCTCAGGATGTTCAGAATTCTCCTTTGAGGACAGTGTCCTGAAATGACTAATTAGATGCTATCTATTGGTGTCTATATTCCATTCCATTCCATTCCATTATGGATAGTTTAAAAGAGTTTGGGTTTACCATTTTAAAATAAAACATTGCAATGTTCTTGGACTACTATGAACATCATTTTTGTTTTAAAGAGTTGATGGAATACAGAATATATTATTGTTAAAGTTTTCCTTCAACCAGGACCTACGAGTCTTACATTCCAGTCCTCTCCATAGGTGTGTGTGAGGAGGCCCTATCGAGGATGTCCTGGGCCTCTAGCTTCTCTACTGGGAATCCTGTGTGTAGGATGCTCAGAATCACCCTAGTGGGCTGCCACAGCACCGGGTCACTGTGTAGGAGGAACATCACCCAGAAGTCACAGATGCTGAATATGACATATTATTACTCTACAACATGTAACCCAATTTGTCATATCTGAACAAACTACCTTTGTTTCGTATTAGATAGATTTGGGACTCCAGAAACCTCCTTTTTGAGTCCAAGGTCAACTTGCAGTTTATAGAGTTTAAAGCCTTAGATCACACTCAAATTTTATTATTGCCCAAGGAATTACCTTCTCACCCTGACCATTATCAGACTGCTTCGTAAGAAGAGAAGTCCAGTCCCAGCAAACCAGTGAAGTCTAGAATAGCCACCCTTTAATTACTTACTACATTCCCCAAACCTTGTGTTTACAAGTAGAACCACCTGTTACTTAGGAGTAGATTTGCCAGCACCTGAGTGCATTATTATGGTGTATTTTAAGATTGCTATAGAATATTCTAGACTCAGTCATACCTTCCTCAGAGATAGCATCTTGGTCTTAAGTTGAAATTTCTGACTCTTAAACCTGAATGGCTTTTAGAGATAGATCACTATGTTTCTTCAAGATGACAGGAAATCACTTGGAAAGATCTTCATGGGATATATGGGGGCTTACTTTCAGAGACACTTATTTGTGTTAACACGATTGACATATAGCGAACAACAGGTATAAATCTGTCACTAAGTTGGGAATACAATATATTGGTCATTCTTTGCATTAGGGAGTGATATGACCACTTACGTTATCCCTAAATGATCAATCTATATTTATATATGGTGTGCATGTTATATTGGGTATATGTATATATGTGTGTATATGTAAAGCACTTTTAAAAAGTGTAAATAGATGAGTCTAGGCGAGTATCTGTGAATTAAGCGGCTATGAATCTACCACTTTTATAGTAAATCACTGAGGTATTCTTTAGCAGTGAATAGTTTTTCACATAATTTTATTATATCCTTTAAAGATAGCACTAAGTATTAATTAAATAGATCCACAGGTAAAATGTATTTTCTGGGAGTATTTTTGACATCTTTGTTTATTAAACTTGGCAGATATTAAGTTAGTCTTTTCATTTGAACTAACCCCCTTAGTACGCACAACTTAAAATAGAACCTAAAGATAAAGAACTTTGGTACTCCATGCCATCCTTGTAACTTAACACCACATCAAATGCTCTAGCATTTCATAAACTTGTTTCTTAAATACAAGTATGACTCTTGACCTTGATCATGGTTTCCATATTCACTTTTAGCTACTACATCCAGGATTTCAGTGGCTCATCATTTCCCTCCACCAGTCTCTCCTGGAAGTAACACTTCGTGTTCAAATAGCACCATTTGTAATAATCCAAAGTAATGGGCAGCCATAATTCATGCGCCCTCCCGTTGGCTGTGAGAAAGCAGCTCACAGAGTCAGTATAAGGTGACCTGAGAATCTGTCGTGACGGAGCCAAGGCAATGGCAGGTCAGAAGCTGAGTCAAGTCGGCATGTCCCGTGGTAAGGAGACTATACACAAAGCCTGGCTTTCACACAAATCAAGGGCCCAATGGAGCACCTGGCTTGGAAGCTCCGAATGCACTCTCTTTGATCAGTCCAGCCCTTAAACAGCAGTGTGGTCTCCGAATGCGCATCTCGGAAGGTAACAGAGACACCAGAGTGAAGCACTGTCTGCTCACCCTGACTAGGTACAGTGTGAGCTAAGATGAGGGTACCATGAAGAAGAAACTGTGGAACCAACAGGCACTTGATCATTCATGTGCCACTTAACACACTGTCACCATCCCAAGTTCCTGTCTGTCTGAGAACAGGACCGCCTTTGATACTTGCTCAGCTGCCCTTGTCTTCTTAGCAGGTAGGAAAGCAGCAAGTTTTCCTGAACCACCCAGAAACCAGCATCTAACCACCATCTCTTTTCCCAACAAGCTAAAACAACAATAGTTTAAATTACATTGAAAGTTTAATTACAGGTATTTTTCCACTCAACATTTGAAAGTTTGGATTCTCTCCTTTTGTGCATAAAGGCTGTCAAGGTGGTTAAGCTAAATTGTGTGTCTTTTTCTATGTACATATCTACACCCAAGTCTCTTCTTTATTAATAAAAGGTGTCTGGACTGCAGTCCCAAACCAACAAAACTGCACTGGATTCCAGGTTGTGAAACCTGAAGAGAAAAGAGTTTCAAAGGAGGGCAGGAAGCAATCACAATAAAAAGCTGTAGCTTGTTATTCATTTCTTCTAAGTTCACCTCAGAAAGCTAATAACAATTAAGAGGAAGAAAAGAAGAGGGCCTAGCTCTCACCCCGCTCCCTCTATCAAACATCCTAGCCCAAACTCTCTGTGGTCTTAAAGTGCAATTACTATTGTGATGGCGCCCAGGCCAGGGATCTGACTGGACAGAGTTCAAAGCAGAAACTTCAAACAGTGCTGCTCAAGACTCAGGCTGGGAGAGCGGGGGCGAGCCGGGAGAAAAGGCACAGGCATGACAGTTCTCAGGCACTCAAGTGCATCCAAAGCAGTGTCCTCTCTTTTTGTAAGAAAAAAAACTGTAAATTGTAAGGAAACCGGCGTTGGAAAAATATAACTTTAAAACAATTTCTATCTGAAGATATTCCAGTGCAGGAAAGTCAAAAGGCAGGCAAGCACAGCAAGGAAGTGGGGACAGGTGCTGCTCCGAGGCGCCCGGCTCCCGTACTGGTGAGCCCTGCGGTCCTCAGAGAAGTCCTCGGGTCGGGGCACAGAGGAAGCGCACTGGACCAAGGGCATCTGGTAGGACGTGGCTCTCTTCTCAGGCCTGTCTGGACTGGACCCGTCACTGGGCCTCTGGCCATTGAACAGCAGATAGCGGCCACGGGCATCCTGCTCCATTTTGAAGATCTCGTATTCCGTGTGAGGTAGTTTGATTCCCAGTGCCACACAGCCATTGGTATGCGTCACATCCTGCTGGACGCCCACCTGCCAGGAGCCCTCAGCCCCACATTCATTCCCATTGAAGACATTGAGGAGCGAGGCAGTGGCCGCATCCATGGGGGTGACCTTCATGTGATTCACTGCAAAGAAGAGAGAACAGGCCTGTGACTCCAGGGAGTGAGTGTGCAGAGAGCCCTGGGCAGCACCGCACCTCCACACAGCTTTCCGATCTCCAGCCAGCCCTGATACCGCCCATCTGACACAGCCGGTGGAAAAGCAGTGTCAGGTGGAAAGATCAATGTGTTGCTCTGAATGACAATCATCAAACTTGTGTTGATCATAAAAACCTACATTTAGCGTACAAATGCTGAGCCCAGACTGTAATTGATTGCAATTGTCTTTGGGGACACTGACTCTTTGGGATTGACAAAATATTCAATAAAATTGGATTTTGTGGGTTTATTTTTTGTTTTTTATGAAAAAGTTTTAAGGTTTTTAAATAGATTTGGTGTCAAACACTTATACTAGTTAGAAGTCTTACAAATTAATTCTGGCCCATAAATCGAGCAACTATAATAAAGTAGGCTACAAGCAAGAATAATGAATAAATATGTTAAATACAAATCCCAGAACTTAAAGAGGATTTCTTTCGAAGGCCCCCCAGGAAACTACATTCTGTGTATACCAAGAGAGCTTTGGGGCTGAATTAGACAGATGTGGCCATTCTCTTGGCTACAACTATCAAAAGTCCATTCTTCTTGGAGCAAATCTTCCTCTCTTAAGAAGAGGGCTAAGATGCCCCAGGACTTGTCTGGGTTATCAGAAATAGTCTATAGTAAATAGACTGAACCATCCATAGAATGCTGTCCTGAGAGTGGTCATAGCTAGCGTCCAGGCCATCCCTCTGCCATGACAGGGCTGACACCACGTTACAAAGATGTACAAGCTTAAAAAAAAAAATCTAGACATAGAGACCAAAGGACTTCCCTTCCTGATAATAGCCCAGCAAATCTCACTCCTTACCTTTATTGCTTATTACGTATTCCAAACCTCCCACCTCCAAACACATGACAAATTCCCCATGCAAGCCAAACTCGGTGCTGGAATCACAGCTCTGAGGCCCTAAAGTGTAACTAACACCTGCTCTTTATGGCTCGCTAAAGAAAACACAGTGCATGCTGTGAGTATGCTGTTATCACAGGAGTCGGTCAGAATGTGCCATGAGTTGCACATAAGAAAGGAAATACAGAGACTTGAGATTTCAGTCCCAGTAACATACTCCTGGGCCACTTCTGACACGGTGCACAGAGGAGTGGGTTCTCTGGCACCATGGCCTGCAGACTGAGCTGCCCACTTAGGCTGGCAAAGAGAAACTCAGAGGCAATTGTAAATGATGACCTTGGGGCAGTATTCCCTAATCTCTTCTCCAACACATTTTCCTCAGGGTCTGCCTCAACAAAAGTCATAAAACTGCTCAAGTCCCTCACCCACTGGGCCCTTACATTGGGATTTGAGGCAGCAGACTTACCTTTGAACACAAACTCAGTTCCTCCCATGACCCTGGAGGAGTGCACACCCCGGCTGTAACGGCCCTTGGCATAGATGGTGAAGGTGGGATGCTTGCAGACAGGGTCAGAGTAGTGGTAGTAATGCCCTTCCCAGGTATTATTGTTGTCGTGGAAGATGAAGTGGCGTGTGAGGAAGAGAACTTCAGGCCGCACCTCACAGCGCTGGCTCACCCACTCACCATGCAGGCCAACGGTCAGGTCAGCCTTGGGGGGCAGGAGAGGAGGGTGGTGCTCATCTGACCGGTGGATGATTCGACAGGCTATGCAGGCATGGTCATGGTTCTGCAGTCAAAAGACAAACACAAGGAAAGACCTGTCTTCACGAGACTGCAGTGTACACGTGCTTTCTGCAATGGGGATCACCACAGTGGGGGTGGATAAAGCACCTGAGCACCATGACTTGTGACCTGAGTCCCCAAGGAGCACCTGGAGCCATACTACAAGGTACAGATGGGGTGTGTGCACATGTGTGTGTGTGTGTCACGCACAGTGTCCATGTGTTCGACCGACATTAGAAATGTACCTAAATATTTCATACAGAGATATGGACTCTCTTTAGAATTATATTACATTTTAAGAACACATGAGCTAGACACTTTCAAAGAGAAAGATCTGTATCACCTCATACCCATTAGGATGGCTACTATTAAAAAAATAGAAAATAACAGTGTTAACATAGATGTGAAGAAAATGGAACCCTTGTGCACATATTGCTGATGGGAATGGAAAATGTTGCAGCTGCTATGGAAAAGAGTTACTCTATGAGCCCTGGCTGGTTTGAATCAGTGATTAGAGTGTCGGCCAGTGGATGAAAGCATCTGGGGTTCGATTCCAGTCAAGGGCACATACCTCAGTTGCAGTTCATTCCTGGCCCTGGTTGGGTCATGTGGGAGGCAACCAGTCGATGTGTGTCTATCACATTGATGTTTCTCTCTCTCTCTCTCCCCCCCTCCCACTCAATCTAATGATAAACAGAAAAATACCCTCAGGTGAGGAATAAAAAAAAGGAGGGGAAAAAAAAAAGAATTACCATAAAATCCAATAATTCCACTTCTGATTTATACCCCACAGAGTTGACCTTGGGGTCTCAAAGAGATATTTTTTCATCCATGTTCACAGCTATTATTCACAATAGATAATACATGGAAACAACTCAATGTACATTGACAGATGAATGGATAAACAAAATGTGGTATACCCATCCAATGAAATACTATTCAAACTAGAGAAGAAAATTCTAACACCTGCTACAACATGGATGAACCTTGAGGATGTTAGCTACGTGAAATAAGCCAGATCCAAAATGACAAATACTGTGTGGTTCCATTTACATGAGGGGCTGGAGGGTCAAATTTATAGGGATAGAAAGTACAATGGCGGTTCATGGGCTTGGGGAGGGGAAACGGGAAGTTAGAGTTTAATGAGCACAGAGTTTCAGTTTGAGAAGATGAAAAATTCTGTGGATGGATGATGGTGATGGTTGTATAATAACATGAATATACTTAATACCACTAAACTATACACCTAAAAATGGTTAATATGGTACATTTTATGTTGTGTATTTTACCACAATTAGATATTTTGCATTAAAAACAATTAGGAGACAAGATACACAATTTTTTTGAAGGCTAGCATCCAGTTGCTGTGGATGAGAAAGAGCGCTGTCTAGTAAAGGCGAGCATGGAGGAGGAGGCCTGAAGGAAGGCAGGAGCAGAGCCTCCGAAGTCAGCAGGCACACCAGTCATCCATTTGTGCTGCTGGCCTTGGGGTTTGGAGGTTTCGTGGGCTCTTAATAAACTTCCTGCTTTATAGCTTTAAACCATTTAATGAGTGCAAGATAGCTGTGGCTCCACTCCTGCTGAGTCTGCTTTATAACACTGACACAGACCCTGGAACAGGGTTCTCTGGGTTTGTGGCTAGAAAACCTATTAGTAGGGTGGCCAGACGCTGTCAGCCATATAAATGCTCATGGCCTAGAGGACTCAGAGTTTACATAAAAAGCTGGGTTCTTGACCATACTTGCCACTGTCCAGTGTTTGACCTAAGTCATAGATACCTGCAAGCCTGCCTCCCCTGGGTATGGGGACCATCTCTCTCTCTACTATTCCCCCTCCCACACAGGGGGCTGTAAAGCCAGCTGGGCTAACAGGCGCTGGCTATGCTAGAAGCATGTCTCAAATCTGATCAATGCTATAGTGGTGGTGACAGCTGAGGCTCAGTGTTCAGGTGGACAGCCCATGGACCCTGCCCAGGGATCCATGAGGTGCAGCAGATTTGCAGGCACAGGGTGCTTTGGGCAGGCATGCACTTGTTTTCTAAAATCAGAAATCCAAAGCTCAAAGTCATTTTCATTTCCATTTTTATTCAACAAAATGTTGCTGTGGCTGCTGTTCAGTTAAACCAGTGGTGGGGAACGTCTGGCCTGCAGGCCACATAAAGACCACAAAATCATTTGGTCTGGCCCTGCCAAGGAAACTGCAGGTGGGACTCAAAATTCAATAAATCTAGGATCTTTTTTCATAGCAAAATGAATTTATATTAAGTGAATCATAACAATAACATAAATTTTGAGGGACAAGCAATGAATGTCCATTACAGGACACATAAGAGTACATGATGGGACAGACACATACACTTTTCCACACTGCCCGAGGCCCATCTGCCTGTATTTTGGAGACTCAGAGATCAGTCAGCATCAGGCAGGCTGGGGGTGTACACGTTGCAGAAGTGTTAACATACTATGGAGAAACTATGGCCATCCTGTGATGAGCTGAGATGTGAAGAGATGATTCCTCAAGACACTGACCATGCTTCTAACGACTGATGATGATGTTGTCAACTTCTTTGTTGACAAAGACAGTAACTCCAATCCAACCTTTACCCACACATCCACAATCCTCAAAAAACTGAATCTCAGATGAAGATTAAGGAAATTACAGTACATAGAAAAGAACTCAAGAGTCGATGATACGAACATTGGATATGTTCTAAATCCAAGATGCAGAATTAGAACAGTGATCAAAGCAAAATAATCTTGTCAGTGGCGACACATACACACTGGACAGTTATTAAAACTTGAGTTGTGTGACAACTTACAAATGGCAACTACAAAGAAAAAAGATGCCGAGTGTTGATCTTTCCAAGAGAAATGGGTAAATGATGATTATTTTGTTGAGTCAAAGGCAAACCTGTGTGCCTAGTTTGTGGCGATGTGTTAGCAGTAATGAAAAAGCCAATCTGGAGCATCATTATAGTTCAAAACACACTAAACGCAATGAATTGGGAGGCCAAATGAGCCTGGATAGAATCAATGCTCTTCAGCCGAGTTTGGAATCATAAGCCAGTCTCACTAGGCCTCATTGTGAGAGAGACAACATTATTCAGATGAGTTATGTAGTGAGTGAGTTAATCACAGAGAAGCCGAGGCCTCATGTAGAGGGGAGAGTCTGTGAAAGAGCGCATGGTGGTTGCTGCAGAGTTGTTAGCATCAGACAAAGCAAAATTGTTTCAGAGGGTTAGTTTGTCTCAGAGAACCAGCTTAGATCGGATTACTGATTTAGCACAAAATACTGGAAAAACACTGAAGGATTCTGAAGATTTCCAATTTTTCTCTCTGGCTCATGACGCAACAAAGGACATACCAAATACTGCCCAACTGGTCATTTTCATTCGTGGAATAACTGCAGAGTTTGACATATGAGAGGAACTGCTGTCACTGGAAGCCATGCATGGCACTATAAGAGGTGAGGAATTGTTTGAGAGACTTGTTTTATCAATTGAAAAACTTGAGCTAACATTTGAAAAGTGAAGTGGCCTTACTAAAGATGGAGCTCCAGCCATGGTTGGACTGCAAAAAGGGTTAATTGCATTTGTCAAGAAAGAACTGAATCGTCTGTTTTGATGCAAGTGATTTAATTCTATGCCACTGCATCATACACCAAGAAAGTTTCTGTGCACAGTCGTTGCAGCTCAACAATGTAATGTCAACAACAGTGTCATGCATAAATTTTGTCAAAAGGGTTTAACAGCCAGCAGTTTAAAGAGTTACTGAGTGATCTTGATTCTGAGTACAGTGATCTTATTTATCACTGCAAAGTCCAGTAGCTGAGTGGTGGGAACATGCTCATGAGGTTTTATGAACTGCGGAATGAAGTCAAGCAGTTCATGGAGATGAAGGGAAAACCTGTCAGGGAACTCAATGATAGCAAGTGGCTGTGTGATTTAGCATTCACCATGGACATTACCAAGTACCTCTCAAAACTGAATGTCAAGCTGCAGGGCCCCAACCAGCTTCTCAGCTCCCTGCTTTCAAATGTGAAATCATTTGAAGCTAAATTAAGGCTGTGGAACGTGCAACTCCAAAGAAATTTCCCCACTCTGGAAGGACAAAAGCTTTCTGAGACACTTGAATATTCTGGTGAGTGCGCAAAACTAAATGAGGCATTTAATGAAAGATTCAAGGATGTGAAAAGTAAACAAATGGAATCAAACATCTTTGCTACACTGTTCAATGTGGAACCAGCTGATGTGCCTGATAACCTACAACACAGAATCATTCAGAGGCAAAGCAATAATGAGCTGAAAGCTAGGTACAGCAACCTCCCACTGCTTGAGTTCTATAAACGTTCCATAAGCAATGATGAATTTCCCACTTTGAGGAGACATGCATTAAAATATGCATCTGTGTTCAGAACAATGGGCAGTTTTTTTCAAAATTTATCGTTGCAAGGAGTCGACTGTGCTCCAGACTGACTGATGCAAACCTGGAAAAGCAGTTTCAAGTAGTAACATCATCAATACCATCTAACATCACGCGCCTCACCAAAGAGAAGCAGTTCCAGCTATCACATTAGGGGTGAGTTAATTAAATGTTTGACCAAATATAGCAGGCTAATTTTTATGTTGATAATTTTGTATGGCCTGACAATGATGTTATAAACATCCAAATAGCCCTCGGCAGAAAAAACGTTCCCCACCTCTGAGTTAAATGCTCAGCCATCTCAGCGAGCGAGAGCAGTGGAGGAGAGGGCCTTCCAGGTGCCTGCCCTCTACTTCTCCAAGGAGAGCTCAAGGCTCACTCACTTGTTGCTGTGTTCATTAAACGAGCCCAGAGTTGTAATTCATGGGAGAGAAGGGTTCCTTTGCTAACACTGCAACGTGTAGATGATGAGATCAAATGGAGAGCCGCAGGGTGGGATGAAGGCAGAGGACTCACTGTCCTGGATCCCAATGCATTTGGGGACCTATGGTTTCCTACAAAGGCTCTGGGGGCACACAGGAGA